TGGGTGTGGATAGGTCCACAGATAGTGGGTGAGGTAGGGAATAATGTCCAAAATTACGCTTTATGAGTGTGTAATTTGATTTCTTCTTTTGCGTTGGTTGTCAGATCTTATATTATGCATTTTTCTTAGTCAAACACATATATGTATTCAATGTCAGTCAAACAAAAAGATCTTGGTGGCTAACACAATATTAACTAGGAATGTGGTTCAAATGAGAATCAAGTCTCAGTGTTAGAACTGTGAGAGCAACTATTTTTAGTTGTATGTAATGCTATGATTCATTGTGTTTTAGTACTATTTTTAATTATGGTGTATTTTATTAAAAATAGCAACACAATTTATATTAGCATTTGTAAAAATGATAGTACCATGTGATATTAGAAATAACATCATACACAACTAGTGCGGTACCCGTGCGATGCACGAGCTAGTTTTATTAAGGTAAGTAGTTAAATTTGGATGATTGGAAGAACGTAAAATACATATATTGAAATGAAACACAATGTCACGTTATATATTATTAAACACATCATTGTACACAAAATTATTTGTTTGGTCTTTTGGTACATCGTCTATCGCCACAAATTATATTAAGATTGTAGATAGTATTAAATAAATCGATTAAATTATTTAGCGGAATATAGATGTTACAATCCGATTTCATTTTGAATTTCAAATTAATATTATATGACTTTATTTTATGTTTAAAAAAAAGTCTGAATTAAAGAAAGTAGTAATCAAATGATAAAAGATTTTTAAATTTTAATTTGAAATTTGGCCCAATTTTTATGTAATCCGATTTTTTTAATAAACTTGATATTCTACAATTAGGTAAAGATACATGTTATAGTGTTTTGTCTAAATCAAAATTCTCGATTGTATGGTAAACAATTTTTTTAATAAAAAATGAAAGAATTTTGACTTTTACAAAATTGTCATGCCGACTATGCAATCCGATTTTTATAATAAATAATTGATTTGTTACAATTAGTAAAAGATATATGTGATAGTATTTTGCCTAATTCGAAATTCTTGATTTTATTTTAATCAGTTTTTTTTAATAAAAATAGAGAAAGAAAATTGACTTTTGCATCAGTCGAAATTTACCTAAATTAAATCCACAAAATATATAAATTTAGGGTGCATATTAAAAAGAATATAATTGTTGTACAATTTCAAGTTTAAATCAACCGTAATTAGTTTTAATTAAAATATAATAGTTTCCAAACAAAACACTTTAGTTAGCCAAAAATTTATGGTATGTAATATTGTTTCTTTAAGGTAACACGATTTTTTGAAAGAAAAGTAACAAATACCATAATTTTAGGGTAGCATTTAATGCTGATTTTTTTGAAAAAAAAAAAGTTACTAAGTATGGAATATAATTAATGCTAATTGAGATTTGACCAGAATTTGACCTACTATTTTTAAAAAATGGTAATTCTTTTTATATATATGAATAAAAAATAGCATCAAGTATAGTTTTCACGATTGTCACACTAAATTTATTTTTTATTTAAACCGGCCCCTATTAACTAGACTTCTTGACCGCGCGTCGCGACGCGGCAAATTTAAATTTTATAAAGTTTCCTCGACTAACCTCTACTAACTAGTAGTAGCGGCGAGTAAGGGTCGATCCCACGAGGAGCAGGAATTAAGTCGTGATAAATTTGGTATCAATTGAACTAAATTACGAAAGCAGTAAATGGGGGAATTGGTTTTGATAAAAATAAAAATAATAAAATAAAATAAAATCAAATAAAATAAGAGAAGTCCAGTTTTCGGTTCAGTTATCACCCAATCTAAATTTACCGTTAATCAATTTCGACGCTTTCTTCAAATTGCTAATGAATTACCGACCCTAGCTAACAACAAGCTCTGTTAACCGGATTTTCCCTTACTGAAAATTTAATCGAAATAGGCTCTTCGACTAAACCTAACTAGTGGACAACCTAGAATAAGCTCTCTAGATTTAATCCACTAGCAGCATTAATATCTAGGAAAATAGATCAGTCTAAGCAATGGACGCATAAGCTCGGACCATTTAACTTATGTTCACGCTACCCTAAGGATGCACGACCCCTAGAAACAAGACAATAACAATTACGGATTAAAGTCCTGAATCTAGCAATTAAATTATGAACATTCAACGTAGCTGGCCAAACTAAATCAAACACCATAATTCATGAACACTAAATACCGATAACGTAAATCAACTCATCAACCAAAATAAATACGGTGTCTCGATTAACCAACGATAAATTGAAATCCTTAAATTCATAGACAAATTCAAGTTAGGGTTCAAACATCCCCTAAAACTGGATAAAAATCTAGCCTAGCATATTAATAAAAATAAATAAAGATAAAAGAAAGAGAATAAATTCTCCCTCGTCTGCAAATGCGGCTTCCCTCCGCGTGTGTAGCCTCTTTCCCTGTCTGCGTGGCTCTCTGTCTCTCTGTCTGTGCGTTTCTTTTTTTTTTTCTCGGCTGCTTCGTGGCGTGAGTTCTGTCTTTCCTCTTGTGGCTATGCGTCTTCGGCCTTTTATTTCCGTGGCAAATAATTCTCAGCCACTATGTTGCGTGTGTGAGGGAGTTTCTTTCAAAATAAATCCTCAATAACAATTGTTCTCTCCCTAAGTTAATTATCCAAAGTCATGGGCTCCAAAAGTTTTTAAGTTGCTGCCATCCTTAATGGGTCGTGCTTGATCCAGTATTCGACACCTCGCTAAATTCTACATGGACTCCCGTCAACAGCTCGTCATCCACAAATTACTCCAAAATACTGAAAATAACACATAAAATATTAAAGTAAATAAATTCATCCAAATAATAAATAGGTCGAAATATACAAATATGCGATTAAATTAAGCATATAAAAATACACTTGTAAACATATAAAACGTGCACATTTTTTGACCTATCACTTCTCCAAAACCAGAAATGGATATAAAATTTAATTAGCGGATATGGACTAGACCACCAGAAGTGCCTAGAAATCAAAATAAAATTAGACAAACTTAAATTATCAAAACACAAGTCATCCAATACTCCCAATAACAACAAAATACTAATAAACAAGAAACATTTAAGTAAGGACCCCCCAGACCAAAATCAATTAATTCACTAAATAATCAGCACTACAGTCGCCCAAGACATACTGATAGGGAGAACTCTGAACCGGGTTCAACAGGTAACCGTCCATCTCCCCATCCCCAAGCCCCGCCGAAGCTGGCGGAGGAGGCTGAGCCGGGCCCTGATCCCCAGCGCGCGAAGCCGATCCATCCTGACCGTTGATCTTCATGGCCTCGATCCTGGACGTGATGTCCCTCAACGTCTGGTCTATGACCCAGCCCATTTCCGCCCAGTTACGCGGGTCCAATTGATCCAGGCCTGCCAGGCCCGAAATACACTGGAACATGAAGCCCTCCATCTCCCGTCGCCGGTTCTCCTTGTGCAGGCGGCGGAGCTTGTCCTCCGTCTTCTTGATCCGCTGCCTGGTGAAGCTCTCCTGGTTCACCATCTTCCTCGTCCTGTCCATTTCGGACAGCGCCCTGAAGCGAGCCAGGACGGCCTGGGCTCCAGCCCGGGACGGCCACACCTCGGGCTCTGTGTCATACGGACTATAAATGACAGCGCAGGCCGGGACATCACACAGCGTGCTCAGCTCTCTCACCTTGTTGATCAGACCCTTCTTTCTTTTCCTGAAAGAGGCCTTCCTTTCGGAGTCGTTCGTAATGTAAGCTAATGTTACTTTCTTTCTCGTCATTTTTCTTCTACTTTATTCGAACAATTGAGGTACATTTGGTATATGTTGTCTTGTGTTTATATATAAGAGATGAGAATGATTTGTGGAGCGGGATTAATTAGATTGTTAGAATTTGAATTTTTTTGTATTTTTGTTTCCTTAGTTGTTCAATGTGTTTACTACTGAGATGATAAGATAGAGAGTGCCCGTTGGACGCCAGTTATTATGTTGCAAAATAACAATTTAATTTGGTTTGTGAATCAAATTTTTTCAAAATTTTGAATAATGTACTCTATATGTTGCGGATTCGAGATTAAATTACTTGCCCAAAATGTAGAAATTCTGAAGACTGAAGTACAATCAATTCAGGATTTCGAAGTCGTGCCTTATTCTTTTTTTTTTTTTTTTTTTT